TATCTGTTTTGATTAGCTCCCTGGCTGTGACCTTTTTTGTTCTTTCTTTTGGGATGAATTCCTCAGTCTTGGCGTTTTGTTCGGGTCTCTGTATTCTTCTGTGTGTTAGGAAAGCCTGTTATGTTTCCTGCTACTGAGAGTAATGAAGAAGAGGTAATGTACTGTCCAGGGCCTGGCACTTGAGGAAATGTCCCTGGTTTATGCTGTGTGCACTCTGCTGCTGTGTTTTGACTGCTCTTTCCCTCAAGTAAGTCATCTGCAGAATTTCTCCTTGTCTGCACTGGGAAATGTTTGGACCTTGGCCAGAGTGTGGCAAATTTTAACTAGGTGTGCTCCGGTGTGTTTGTTAAAACATACATGATGCCATCTCCACTAGAGCTGAGGCTTTGGGGAACTCTATGGTCAGTAGACATGGTGTGTGCAGGTGGGTAGGTGGAGGGGGGGTTTGTGTTGGTCACCTAGGGGAGGGCCCCACTGCTCTGGTTCTCAGGCACACTTGTCCTAGTAAAGAAACACCAGCAGAGTGTGGGGAGGCAGGGCTTCACATAAGTGGTTAAAGCCACCATTGTTGGCACTGTGCTGCTTACTGAAGTTAGTTTATATTGAGGGATGGGGGAGAGAAATGATGCCAGCCCCTTACCTTGTCCCCACGGAGGGGAGGTCATGCCTGCCCCTGTCCAGAAAACCCTCCCCAAAGAGCAAAGAATCTTTCTTCATGTGTCCCAGGTTTCCCTCAGATCCCTGCCTTCACCTGTATGCAGACGGGCCATCTGCTCATCCAGCAGTGCAGTATACTTTGAGCTCTATCTCAGGCAGGTGAGCTGAGTTTTAAAACTCCATAATTTAGGAACCTGGTTTGGTGGGGAGCTGTGCTGATCCTTTGAGTGAGGGTCTCCCTGTAGTAGGACTGATGTAAGTTTGTTTCAGAAAGGCAGTCACACCAAAGCTTAAGGGAGTGGATTTTGGAGTAAAGCACAGCCAAGAGCCAGTATCCAGGTTAGTCATCCTCAGCAGGTGTCTCGGCTCCTGTGCTGAAGGGTGGGGGGAGGAAACGGCACCTGCCAGCTCTTTTGTCCTCAGAGAGGCAAAGCCAGCTCTCCCAGTTGCGCTCCAAGAAGAGGGAGCCCTCTTTCCTGGTACATCCCAGGGGATCCTCAGATCACGTCATCTGTCTCTTGGGCTATTTGCCTTTCTTCTCCACAAGAGCACTGCTCTGCCAGTCTCCCTCCACACCTGCCACAGCATGGATTTCTAAAACTCCAGTCTTTGGAGTTTTAGCTGGTTGTACGAATACATGAAAACCAAACCCTTTCATTTTCCTAGTCAATGGCTTTGGGGAAGTGTTTTCCTTGTGTGATCCCCTGTGGACACCTCTCTCTCTTTCTCTCTCTTTCTCTCTCTCTCTCTCTCTCTGTCCCTCTCTCTCTCCCTACTCTGTGACCAGTGTTACCACCCCTCCACAGCACCTGTTATCTGTTTCTCCCTCAAACTATATCTCTGCACCTCCTACCTTCCTCAATGTGGCCTCTTCTCTTTCTCTAGTTGTGTAGTCTGTTTTGTTAGTCCTCAGATGGATTTCGTGGGTATTGAGAATGATTTAATATTTTGCTGTGTTCAAGCGACAAGGCAAGCCTAGGGTTCTTCCAGCTTTTCCATCTTAGCTTGGCATGAAAATTTCTATCATGAGATAACAAGAGCCTGAACTATTCTTTCATTTATTCAATAATTCAGGAATTCTTTTATTAACAAATTTCGTTTTTTTGAAAACATAAAATACTTCATAAACTTCCTAAGCATAGTAACTTAAATATATCCCTTGTGATACATGAAGAAGTTACATATTAAGGAAAGAGCCAGAAAGGAACTAGGGGTCTCCTTATTGAGAACTAAATCCTCTGAAACTAAGTATCTGAAGCTGGGGTAATATTTTATAGCCCTTTATTGGAGCAATAACCCCTATTTCTGAGCTCTGCAATCTCTCTCTCTCTCTCTCTGTCCTTTTTTACTTTTTATGCTTAGCTGTTTCTAATTCTGAAATTATAAAAAACCTCATCATAAAAGTTTATCTGATTCCGATTGATAAACTAAATAGATCGCAAAAGCACTAGCAAAAATCCTATGGCATTTCATTGTTTCCTCTTTCATGTATAAATAGGAAATATCCAACACTCCAGGATAAGTAAATTCTAGTCTAAAAATGTGGAATCCTAGCTTTTAAATCTGAGATAGTTCTGATTTGCTAATTCTCTAGATAATTCTAATTCATTGAGCAAGTTTCAAGAGCTCTGTGCCTCAGTTTCCTCATCTGCAAAATAAGGATAATAATAAGCACCTGCATTGTAAAATTGTTATGAAGCTCCCTAAAGGATTACTTTAAATATAACTTTATAGATAAAAAGAAGAAACATAAACTAACATTGAAACTTTATTGCATATGGAATACTCAAAGAGAAGTTATTAATAAACTTTCCAGGAATTAGAGTTTTAAAAGATCTTCTGTAATTGAGGGCCCAGTTTATCTAAGTTCATCTTGTGTCTAAGGATACAATCTTACATACCACCTGGAAAGGCAAGTTTTAATATCTCTGTCTCTATCTCTAGTTCTCTCTGTCTCCATCTCTATCTCTGTCTCTGAAGCATCAAGCATCATGGAAGCAAAAAGCCCAAAAGTTAACATGTACAGTTCCCAAATTAATTCGTGACTATAGGGTTTTAATTTAACCTCATTATTCTTGTAGTCTCAGAATAAAAGTACCAACACTATTACCAATAATATGAGTTATTTTTGCCTTTGGGGAATATCTCACTAAATGTGTAGAGTTAAATTACTATGCTTTAAAGTTATTTCAAATAGTTTCTCTTGATTTTTAGATAATGCTTTGTGCAACTTAAAATGTTTTTATTAATTTTTTTAATTATTTATTTCTGAGAGAGAAAGGGAGACAGATCATGGGCAGGAGAGGGGCAGAGAGAGAGGGACACACAGAATCGGAAGCAGGCTCCAGTCTCTGAGCTGTCAGCCAAGAGCCCATCGCAGGGCTCAAACTCAAAAACCATGAAATCATGACCTGAGCCGAAGTCAGAGGCTTAACCGACTGAGCTACCCAGGCACCCCTACAAGCTTGTTTTATACTTATGTAAAAATTTACATGGTTCCAAAGTAAGTAGACAAAACAAGGCATATTCAGAGAAGTTTAGCTGCTTCTATTCTTGCTCCTTCCATTTTATTTCCCACCTCCCTCTATAGACAATCATTACTTTTTTATTAAAAAAATTAAAGTATAATTTTACAATTTTTAGTGGCCTGTCCTATGAATTTTAACAAATAGGTATGGTCATACAACCATTTCAATCAAGATATACAAAAGTTTGTCTACTCTAGTGAATTCCCTGTGCTCCATCCCCAGCTTGTTGTAACCACTTGCCTATTTTTTGTTCCTCTAGTTTTGCCTTTCTAGAATGAGGACGTTCTAGAATGTACTTATTCATATAGTCTTTAGAGTGCCTTCTTTCACTTAGAAAAAACATTTAAGATTTACTAATGATGTTGTGTGTATCAGTAAAGTGTTTTTTTTAATTGCTAAGTCATATTCCATTCTAGGAATGTGATATAGCTTATTTATATATTTCCCGGTTGAGTGAGATTTGGGGTAATTCCAGTTTTAGGTGATTGCAAATAAAGCCTCTGTAAATATTCACAAAAAGTTTTTGTGTGAATATAGATTTCATTGCACTTGGGTAAATATTTTGTTGTGGGATTTGCTAGGTTATATGGTAATTATATCTTACAAGAAACCATTTTTCAAAGTGGTTGTAACATTTTAGGGGCACCTGGGTGGCTCAGTCAGTTTGTGGGTTCAAGCCCCGCGTCGGCTCTGTGCTGACAGCTCAGAGTCTGGAGCCTGTTTTGGATTCTGTATCTCCCTCTCTCTCTGACCCTCCCTTGCTCATGCTGTCTCTCTCAGAAATAAATAAAACATAAAAAAAAAAAAGTGGCTGTAACATTTTATGTTTACCACCAATGTATGAGAGTCCCAGTTGTCCAACATCCTTACCAACAATTGATTTTATTCTTTATTTTAGCCACGTACTATTTATTTATAGCCATTTATTATTTATATTAGCAATTCTAATAAGTATGTGGTGGTATGCCATTGTGGTTTAAATTGCATTTCTTTTTTTTTTTTTTAATTTTTTTTTAATGTTTTATTTATTTCTAGGAGAGATAGGGAGAGACAGCGTGAGCAGGGGAGGGTCAGAGAGAGAGGGAGTCACAGACTGAAACAGGCTCCAGGCTCTGAGCTGGCAGTCAGCACAGAGCCCGACGCGGGGCCCGAACCCACGAACCGCGAGATCATGACCTAAGCGAAAGTCGGACGCTTAACCGACTAAGCCACCCAGGTGCCCCTAAATTGCATTTCTTTAATGGATAGTGATGTCAAACATATTTTTCCATATTTTTATATGTCATCTGTATATCTTTCTTGGTATTGTGCCTGTCCTAATCTTGTTTATTTTATTTTAGGTTGTATGTATCTTATTATTGAGTTTTGAGTGTTTTTTTATATATTCTGAATATAAGACCTGTGTCAAATATGTGATTTGCAAATACTTTCTCACAATTTAAGATTTACCTTTTCATTTTTAACAGTGTCTTTCAAAGAGCTCAAGATCTTAATTTTAATGAAATCTAATTAAAATTTTTTTCTAGAAATATATTAGTTTGAGATTTTACATTTAGTCTTAAAATTCATATTGAGTCAGTTTTTGTAATGGGCAAGAAATATGAATCAAGCTTCATCTTTTTCTTTTTCTTTTTGCTATGGATATGTGGTTCCAGTACCATTTGTTGAAAACTATCTGTATTCTGAATTGCCTTTCAAACCTTGTAAAAAATCAATTGTTCATATACATGTGAATCTATTACTGACTCTCAATGTTATTCCATTAATCTAAATATATACTTTCTCCAGTACCACCCTGTCCTTTTTTCTTCAGAAAGTACTCAGACTGCATCCTCTCCCTCTTACTCCCCAAAGGAAGAGAAGAACAGTCATCAGTGGCAAAAGGCAGTTGCAGAAACTAACACCTAGAGCTGCTTCATGCTCAGGAGTAAACACTACACCTCCTCCTTGTGTCCCACTGTCTTGATTACTTTAGGTCTGTAGCAAGACTTGAAATCAGATAGGATGAGTTCTCTGATTCTTCTTTATTATAATTGTCTTGGCTATTCTAATTTCTTAGCTTTTCCATAAATATTTTAAAACCAACTTGTTGATTGCTACCAAAACCTCTACTGGGATTTTGACTAAAATTGTATTGAATCTATAGATCCTGAACAAGATTAAGAATTGACATATTACCAATCTTAAGTCTTCAAGTCCATAATCACAGTGTATATTTCCATTTACTTAGGTATTTTTTTACTTATATCATAAGTATTTTCTGTTTTTCCACATACATACCTTGTACCTACTTAGCAGTTCATACGTTTGCACCTATTTATGCCTACATGTTTTGTGGGTTTTGGTGGTATTGTAAATGGCAGTTTTTGGTTGTTATTTTACTTTCCAATTGATCATTGCTAGTATATAGAAATATGATTGATTTTTGTGTTCTCTGACCTTACTAAACTTAGTTATTAATTCTAGAAACATTTTTGTAGCTACTTCAGGATTTTCTATGTAGAAAATTATGTTGTCTGTGAATAAACAGTTTTATTTCTTTTTCAAAAGTTTTTTGTTTTTTGTTTTTGTTTCTGTTTTTTTTTGTTTGTTTTTGGTTTGTTGTTGTTGTTGTTGTTGTTGTTGTTTTTGAGAAACATAGAGCACAAGCAGGGGAGGGACAGAGAGAGAGGGAGAGGGAGAATCCTGAGCTGGATGTTTATCTACTGAGCCACCCAGGCACTCCATTTCTTTTTCTTGTCTTATGGCATTGGCTAGAACCTCTAGTATGGTGCTAAGAGTAATGAGAATATACATCTTTGCCTTATTCCTAATCTTAGGGGTGGAGGGCAATCAGTCATTTACCATTAAATGTGATATTAACCTTAAGAATTTTTGTAGATTTTTTAAAATCAGATTGAGAAAGCTGAAAGTTTGTTGAATGGATATTGAATTTTATCAGATTCTTTGGGTGATAATATGGTGTTTTTTTAGCCTGTTATGATGAATTACATTTCTAAATGTTAAACCATTCTTATATTCCTGGGATAAGTTCTACTTGGTTATGATGTATTACCTTTTAATATACTTCTAATGCAATTTACTAGTATTTTGTTGAAGATTCAAAAACCTAGGTTCATGAGTGCTGCTGGCCTAAGCTGTATTTTCTTTGCAATGTATTTTTTCCTGACTTTAGTATCAAGGTAATGCTGGCCTCATTATATCAGTTGGGAAGAATTCTTTCCTTTCTGTATTTTGTTTTTGTTTTGTTTTTTTTTAAAATAAACTTTAAAAAATTATTTTTATTTTTCTGAGAGAGAGAGAGACAGTGTGAACAGGGGAGGGTCAGAGAGAGAGAGGGAAACACAGAACCTGAAACAGGCTCTGAGCTAGCTGTCAGCACAGAGCCCGATGTGGGGCTCGAACCCACAGACTGTGAGTTCGAATCGAAGTTGGATGCTCAACTTACTGAGCCACCCAGATGCCCCTCCTTTCTGTATTTTGGAGGAGTTTGTATAGAATTAATATTGTTTCTTCTGTTAATGCTGTGTAGGATTTGACAGTGATGTTATCTGTGCTGAGAATTTTCTTTGTTGGACAGTTAAAAAAACTATTATTTCAATTTATTTGATAGATATAGGACTGTTCAAATTATAGATTTCTTCTTGAGCTTTGTCTGTGCTTTTCAAGGATTTCCCTCCTTTAGGCCTTTGCATTTCCCCCAGGCCTGCACCATGAGAAATGCATGCTTAGATCTCTTGCCTCGCCTCAAATCTTACTTGTGAGCACTGGTGGTTGTGAAGCCTTGTATTTATGGCTTCCAGAGGTTCTATACTCTCATTCTAGATCACATTTGCCTTTCAACAATTCATTGACATTTTAGCTGAATTCTTTATCTTAACTTGAATGGTGTCTGGTGGGGTCTCTTGTTCTTCACTGATTTTCACAAGAAAATCTTTATCTTGTTCTTTATCCCAACAACCACCAAAAACAACTTTGCAAAGAAATGGCATCATCAAAAGAAATATAGTATGATCTACTGTTGAAACTGAATACCTTGCGTGACTAAGTCAAGCCATGTTCAACAAATGTCATATGCCACTGTTTTCCTCAAAAAAGTAAAACATCCTACAGTGTCCTTGTGAATTCACTTTGACACCCTGGAGCACCTTAGTGCATAGCTTGGGAATCCTAGGCCTTACCTACAGTCATCATAGACAATTTAAAAATCTATGACCTATAAAGAAACCATTGAACAGATCAATGAAACCAAGAGTTGGTTTTTTGAAAAAGTAAACAAAATTGACAAACCTCTAGCCAGGCTTATCAAAAAGAAAAGAGAGAGCACCCAAATAGACAAAATTATGAATGAAAATGGACTTATTACAACCAACCCCTCAGAAATACAAGCAATTATCAGGGAATACTATGAAAAATTATATGCCAACAAATTGGACAACTTAGAAGAAATGGACAAATTCCTAAACACACACTCACTACCAAAATTCACACGGGAAGAAATAGAAAACCTGAACAGACCCATAACGAGTGAAGAAATCGAATCAGTGATCAAAAATCTCCCAACAAATAAGAGCCCTGGACCTGATGGTTTCCCTGGGGAATTCTACCAGACATTTAAAACAGAATTAATCCCAATTCTTCTCAAGCTATTCCAAAAAATAGAAGTCGAAGGAAAACTCCCGGACTCATTTTATGAAGCCAGCATCACTCTGATTCCCAAGCCAGACAGAGATCCAACAAAAAAAGAGAACTATAGGCCAATATCCTTGATGAATACGGATGCAAAAATTCTCAACAAGATCCTTGCAAATCGAATCCAGCAGCATATCAAAAGAATCATCCACCAAGATCAAGTGGGATTCATTCCTGGGTTACAGGGCTGGTTCAACATTCGCAAATCAATCAATGTGATCCATCATATCAATAAAAGAAAAGATAAAAACCATATGATCCTGTCAATAGATGCAGAAAAAGCATTTGACAAAATACAGCATCCCTTCTTAATAAAGACTCTCGAGAAAGTTGGGATAGAAGGAACCTACTTAAACATCATCAAAGCCATCTATGAGAAGCCTTCAGCTAACATCATCCTCAACGGGGAAAAACTGAGAGCTTTCCCCCTGAGATCAGGAACACGACAGGGATGTCCACTCTCACCACTGTTGTTTAACATAGTGCTGGAAGTCCTAGCATCAGCCATCAGACAACAAAAGGAAATCAAAGGCATCAGAATTGGCAAAGAGGAAGTCAAACTTTCACTCTTCGCAGATGACATGATACTCTACATAGAAAACCCGACAGACTCCACCAGAAGCCTACTAGAACTGATCCAAGAATTCAGCCAAGTTGCAGGGTACAAAATCAACGTACAGAAATCGGTTGCATTTTTATACACCAATAATGAAGCAACAGAAAGAGAAATCAAGAAACTGATCCCATTCACAATTGCACAAAAAACCATAAAATACCTCGGAATAAACCTAACCAAGGATACAAGAGATCTGTATGATGAAAACTATAGAAAACTTATGAAGGAAATTGAAGAAGACACAAAGAAATGGAAAAACATTCCATGCTCATGGATAGGAAGAATAAATATAGTTAAGATGTCATTACTACCTAAAGCACTCTACACATTCAATGCAATTCCAATCAAAATTGCACCAGCATACTTCTCAAAACTAGAACAAACTATCCAAAAATTTGTATGGAACCACAAAAGACCCCGAATAGCCAAAGTAATACTGAAAAATAAAACCAAAACGGGAGGTATCACCATCCCAGACTTCAGCCTCTACTACAAAGCTGTCATCCTCAAGACAGTATGGTATTGGCACAAAAACAGACACATAGACCAATGGAACAGAATTGAGAACTCAGAAGTGGACCCAAAAGTATACAGCCAACTGATCTTTGACAAAGCAGGAAAGAATATCCAATGGAAAAAAGACAGCCTTTTTAACAGATGGTGTTGGGAGAACTGGACAGCAACATGCAGAAGAATGAAACTAGATCATTTTCTCACACCATGCACAAAAATCAACTCAAAATGGATAAAGGACCTGAACGTGAGACAGGAAACTATCAACACCCTAGAGGAGAAAGCAGGAAACAACCTCCTTGACCTCCACCGCAGCAACTTCTTACTTGACACATCCCCAAAAGCAAGGGAATCAAGAGCAAAAATAAACTGTTGGGACCTCATCAAGATTAAAAGCTTCTGCACAGCCAAGGAAACAACCCAGAAAATTAATAGGCAACCAACGGAATGGGAAAAGATAGTTGCAAATGACATATCAGATAAAGGGTTAATATCCAGAATCTATAAGGAACTCACCAAACTACACGCCCGAAAAACAAACAACCCAGTGAAGAAATGGGCAGAAGACATGAACAGACACTTCTCCAAAGAGGACATCCAGATGGCCAACAGACACATGAAACGATGCTCAGCATCCCTCCTCATCAGGGAAATACAAATCAAAACCACACTGAGATACCACCTCACGCCAGTCAGAGTGGCTAAAATGAGCAAATCAGAGAACTCTAGATGCTGGCGAGGATGTGGAGAAACGGGCACCCTCCTACACTGTTGGTGGGAATGTAAACTGGTACAGCCCCTCTGGAAAACAGTGTGGAGGTTCCTCAGGAAACTAACAATAGAACTCCCTTATGACCCAGCAATAGCACTGCTAGGAATTTACCCAAGGGATACAGAAATGCTGAGGCATAGGAGCACATGTACCCCAATGTTCATAGCAGCACTCTCCACAATAGCTAAAACATGGAAAGAGCCTAAGTGTCCATCAACAGATGAATGGATCAAGAAGATGTGGTTTATCTATACCATGGAATACTACATGGCAATGAGAAACAATGAAATCTGGCCATGTGTAGCAACATGGATGGACCTTGAGGGTGTTATGCTGAGCGAAATAAGTCAGGCAGAGAAGGACAAATATCATATGTTTGCACGTATAGGAGGATTAGGAGGAACTTGACGGAGGAACAAGGGGGAGAAG